TGATTCCTTGTCTCTGCATACAAAGCAGCCTCATTCAGGAGTGTGAGTCACTAGCACCATTCTTAGAGGATTGCTCAGCTCATGATCTGGGAGGCCCAGATAATACTTTAGAATCATGATGAATCAATATTGAGACTCTTTAGTCCAACCATAGATTTTCTAGGATGACATTTGGGAAATGCCTTCTTGAAAATTTGACATTTTACTGTTGTTTGATTTCACTGCCATTACTTCGCTTATTTCCATATACATAGTCTGTTGGTTGTTTTATGAATTTTATTCTTCTGGAGTGATTTTCATTAAACGTTAATAGAAGGGACCTTAGAAATCATCGAATCTGATATTCCCCACTTATTTCACAAATGAAAAAATGGAAATATTTACTCCTGAAGCACATGTTTAGAATCTTTTGACTCCTAGTTCAGTGCTTGCTCTGTTTGTTTCACAAAATTCAAGGTTAAGAATCCCTTTTTAAAATATTAATTTTAGTTCATCCTTGATTTTGTTATTTAGAAAAGAAATTAAGATTTTAAAATATGGTCTACCTATTGTAGGTTTTAGGTTTGTTTTGTGTTGTTGTTTTTTAATTAGAAGAAAATTAAAATTTGGCTCTGACCTATTTGGACTTGGTTGTTGTATTTGCAAAACATTTAGAATAACGCTAATTTTGAAAATTTTAATTTCCTGATTATAGGTTAATACAGGGGTCCTCAACCTTTTTAAACAGGGTGCCAGTTCACTGTCCCTCAGACCCTTGGAGGGCCGGACTATAGTTTAAAAAAAAACTATGAACAAATTCCTATGCACACTGCACATATCTTATTTTGAAGTAAAAAAACAAAACGGGAACAAATACAATATTTGTATTTGCATGTGGCCCGCGGGCCGTAGTTTGAGGACCCCTGGGTTAGTTAGTGAGCCTTAACAATTGACATGGGACAAGTTATGGGAGTCTTTTTAGCTGATCTGAAACTCTTGAGAGTTTTTTGGTTTTTTTTACATGAGTCTATTAGAGAGACTTTTCCAAACACATATATGAAAGTGATATTTTGGGATTGGAAAAAATGAATCAGATAAACTGGAAAGTAAAACATTTCCCTGAGAGTTACTATGCTATAAAAATATGTTTCAACTTCAACAGATGAGTTCAGTTACCTTCCTCTAGTCGTCTGTTGCGTAGCATATATAATTGTACATTAAAAACCTCTTGAACACAACTGTTGTTTTTAGAAAGTATAAACTTCCTATAAATTACCAGATTGCTTTTTAAAATATATATTTTTGAGTTTTTTTTTAAAGAAAGGGGAAGAGAGATAGAAACTTTGATGAGAGATTACATACAATGGATTATTATCCAGCCTTATAAGGAAGCAAATTCTGACACATGCTGCTACAGCCTGGATGACTCTTGAAGACATTATGCTAAGTTGGCCGGAAGACTGGAAGGTCTCTGGTTCAGTTCAGGTCAAGGGCACCTACCTTATTGCAGGCTCAATCCCCGGCCCTGATCTAGGTCAATGCAGGAGACAACCAATCAATGTGTCTCTCTCACATCACTGTTTCTCTTGCTCCCTCTCCTCCTCCCATTCTCTAAAAATCAATGGAAAAAACACTGAGGATTAGCAAAAAGCAGGCAAAATTGGATGATCTTAGGCAAATTTTATAAGCTTTCTGGACCTCATTTATTCAGTTTTATAAGGGATCTAATTTGCTGTCACCCAGTAACTCAGTTGGTTAGAACATCATTCTGATATGCCAAGGTGTTACGAGTTTGATCCCCAATCAGGGCACACACACGAGTCAACCAGTGAATGCATAAATAAGTAGAACAGCCGAAACCGGTTTGGCTCAGTGGATAGAGCGTCGGCTTTCGGACTGAAAGGTCCCAGGTTCGATTCCGGTCAAGGGCATGTACCTGGGTTGCGGGCACATCCCCAGTAGGAGATGTGCAGGAGGCAGCTGATCGATGTTTCTCTCTCATCGATGTTTCTAACTATCTCTCTCCCTTCCTCTCTGTAAAAAATCAATAAAATATATTTAAAAAAAAAAAAAGTAGAACAACACATCGAGGTTTCTCTCTCAATCTCTCTCTCTCCCTCCCTCCCTCCCCCCCCCCTTCTTTCCTTCCTCTCTCCCTCTAAAAAAGCAAAAAAATAAGAATAGATAAAATGGGTATAATTATATAATCAATCTCATTAGGTAATTCAAATAATGTGCTTTACATTTAATCTTCAAAAGTCCAATGAGTTCTGTTTTACCAAAAAATGCAGTAACTTTGACTTGGTTCTGTTGAGGTGTAACTGATAGAAAAACTCTTCAAATATAAAGAATTTTGGAGGGAATTAAGTAATTTATTACCATGTTGATGCCAACTAATTTTTTTTAAATATAGTTTATTGATTTTTTTTACAGAGAGGAAGGGAGAGGGATAGAGAGTTAGAAACATCGATGAGAGAGAAACATCAATCAGCTGCCTCCTACACAACCCCTACTGGGGATGTGCCTGCAACCCAGGTACATGCCCTTGACCGGAATCGAACCTGGGACCCTTCAGTCCGCAGGCTGATGCTCTATCCACTGAGCCAACCCAGTTAGGGCTAATTTTTAAATTCTATTTTCTAGTGCAAGACAAGGCAGATAGTAATTTTAGTTATTTGGAAAATAGACTAAAAATAGCACGTTTGGTTTCTGTCCAATAAATGTTATGTAAGCAAACATAATTTTCTTCAGTATGTGTTTTGTGTGTTTGTGTGAATCCTTTTGAATGATGGGCTACAGTGAATTGCAGTGTTCTTTATTTTAAAAACCATCCTACTGCCCTGGCCGGTGTGTCTCGGTTGAGAGTTGTCCTGTGCACCAAAAGGTTGCCGGTTCGATTCCAGGTCAGGGAACATACCCCCATTGCAAATTTGATCCCCAGTAGGGAGCGTGCAGGAGGCAGCTGATAGATGTTTCTCTCTCCCACTTCCTCCCACCCACTTTCTCCTTTTTTCTCTCTCTAAAATCAATAAAAAAATTTTTAGCCCTAGCTGGTTTTGCTTAGTGGATAGCGCATTGGCTTGCAGACTAGGGTCTCTTGGGTTCGATTCTGGTCAAGGGCACGTGCCCGGGTTGCTGGCTTGATCCCCAGTAGGGGATGTGCAGGAGGTAGCTGATGAATGATTCTCTCTCGTCATTGATGTTTCTATCTCTCCCTTTCCCTTCCTCTCTGAAATCAATAAAAATATATTTTAAAAAAATTTAAAGCCTTCTTTGAAAAAATAACTTCTCCATCTTTTCATTTATTCAAGCCCGGCCATGTAGCTTAGCGGTTGAGCATTGACTCATGAACCAAGAAGTCACTAGTTTGTCCTAGCCGTTCTGGCTCAGTGGATAGAGCCTCGGCCTGTGGACTGAAGGGTCCCAGGTTCATTTCCGGTCAAGGGCACATGCCTGGGTTGTAGGCTCCATTCCCAGCAGGGGACATGCAGGAGGCAGCCCAATCCATGATTCTCTCTCATCATTGAAGTTTCTCTCTCTCCCTCTCCCTTCCTCTCTCTAAAAAATCAATAAAAACATTTAAAAAAAATGTTTAAGAAAGAAATTGATATGACTATATAAAAATTATAAAATTTGACGGAAGACAATAAAATGAGGTGTTTATGTTAAATGTCAAATGGTTAATGTCTCTACTATATTAAGACTACATTCTCCAGATAAATGGGCAAAAGGATAGAACTAGTCCTCAAAGGGGGCAATATGGAGGATGTGTATCCTGCTGTATTGAAAACATACACATTTCTGTAATTTTGCACGCAGTACAGTAGCATATCAGACTGCTGATGAGGTTGAGGTGAAGTTGTCATCATTTGTTGCCAGGCATCATAAATTGCTAGGATGTCAAATAACAGTATAAAGCAAGAACCATGCAGGTTTGCATTTCTTGGGCCTAATAATACCACTTCCTAGAATTTGTAGATAAATCCAACCAAAGCTTAAAGGATACACTCAAGAAGATACTAAGTGTAAAAGCACATATAAATCAGCTGGGGCTTTCCTAAACATTTGAGTGTTTGGCACTCATTCCCCCATCTCTCACCAGCACCTGTCACATGTTCCCACATCGTTTTCCATTCATGGATGGAGAATGGAAGTGGTTTTTATTTTTCATGAGAGCAATTTGCAGGTTAATTGTTGCTCTTCTCTCCCTGCTCTATAACAAGTCTGTTTGGAAGCCAGAGAAGACTATGTCCTGAATCTTAGGCCTCTGATAGCAGAGCAAAAAAGGAAAGGTTTGGTATTAGTGGAGCAAGAACACAAGGAGACCACACAGTTCTGCTTAGAAATGTTAATTCCAGAACCCACCGTTCTCATTCCGTTTCCCCCCCATCTCTCCCACCCTCCTCCTCTCACCTCCCCCCATCCTATTGGAACATATGCTCTGTGATACTTAAACCATTTTCTTACTGCTTGCGAGGAGAGGAAAGGGAAGAGTATCAAAGAAAAACCCACTAACTCCGCAGTGGATAGAAACAGCGGCGATGCTGCCATTGAGTTTAGGAAGCCCATGGTTATTTTAGAAAGTTGTCCACTCCCATTTTATGCTGGAGCTAAGTCACTAAGTACATCATTTATGCTCAAGATCTGGATAATAGGTGCTATGGCACTAATGAATGCCATGGAAAATCAGGGTCTGAGGTTTCAGCGTTTTCTAGGCCTACAGCATAACGTATTCAATGTGTACTGTGGGGTGTGTTTAAATAGCTGCTTTATAACTTATATAAACCTTGAAGAGCTTATCACCAACTTCTCCTTCCCTCCCCAATGTTAGACTATTGTATGAGATGCTGAACTCTTTTTTTTTTTTAGATCCTCACCCAAGGATATGTTTCCATTGATTTTTAGAGAGAGTGGAAGACAGAGAGAAATATTTATGTGAGAGAAACACAGTTGTTTGCCTCCTGCATGTGCCCCAGCCAGGGCCCGGGACAGGTAGGAGCCTGCAACCAAGGTACATGCCCTTCACCAGAATTGAACTTGGGACTCTTTGGTCCACAGGCCAGTGCTCTATCCACTGAGCAAACTGGCTAAGGCCAATGCTGAACCCTTGAAATTCTTTCATAGCAATAATTATTTTAAAAGATATTTTGTATGAATGGAAGTGTAGAGGAGGAGTTTTCTAAGCAAGTTACAATTGCTCTTTCATGATCTTGGCATATTGGGACAAATAGAATTTGTTGATTATTGATTTTTTTGGCTCAGGAAATGCTTTAGATGTGGTGTTTGGGGGAAATCTGAGTCTGAACTTGTGAGTGTGAATAATTATGGAGAAACCTAATTTACGTCACCATTTGATGGTTGCATATTATTTACCTCCTGCTTTGTGGTTATAGTTTATGTATTCAGTAAGAGGAGAAGTGGCGAACTCAGATATATTGGCTGAAAGTGGGAGTGGTACTTGAAGTCCTTGTTAGGGTCGCCAAAGGAAGTATGCACAAGGCTGAGAGTGGTAAAATTTGTTAGGTCATGTTTTGAGACCAAATGGGCTGAGCCCCCATGACACCAGCACCCAGGCATGGGGAGTCAGGTTTTAAAGGACTGTGGGCAGGCTTTTTCGGGGAACTCTGTGGATGGGTCCAAATCCTGGGAAAGTCCAGAGGGGAAAGATCATGGTTTTAGCAAGTGGAATGTAGTCTAAGCAAAAGGGAATGTTGGTTGTGAAGTGGTCTAAAGGTCAGTTCCCAGGGGAGGCGGGTATCTATTCAATTATTTGATCAGCCCTAACAATCCCATGATGAGATCTTTGTGTGGTCAGATTTTGTATTAAATCTTGATACTTACATGTTAGGTGCCTACACTTCTTTTTCTCTTTTTCACTGGTCTTTTGAAAATTGTTCTGAGGTATTTTTTTCTGTATTTAACCCCCCCCCCAAAAAAAATATTTTTAATCTATGAACATATGACACCCAGGAATTGTTTAATTTTCATTTATTAAATTAATAAATGAACAAAGTTGGCACCTAATGGATGAATCTTGGCCATAGCTATTCAAACTTGGCAGAACTTGATAATTAGCAAAAATTTGTCTTGGATTTTTGTTTGTTTCATTTTTTGTTAATCTTTCCCAGAGGATATTTTTTCTGTTGATTTTTAGAGAGGAAGGGAGGGAGGAGGGGACAGAGAGAAAAACATGGATGTGGGGGAGAGACATTGATTGGTTGCCTTCTGCCTGTGGCCCCAATTGGGCCAAGGATCAAACATGCAGCCCAGGTAGGTGCCCTTGACTGAGAATCAAACCCAAGACCATTCTGTGTGTGACGCTCTAACCATTGAGCAACATGGGCCAGGGCTTGAGGTTTTCGTTGTTTTTTACCACAATACAGATGTGGCTGTTTTCTAGCAGTTGAATCTGTAAATCACCTTCTGTGGGACAAGTGTGTCCCAGTGACTGAGAGCCAGCTGTTGGGTGTTTTAACTAAACAGCTGGCTCCTAGTGGGCAGCTCAAGTCCCAGTGCGAAGTATTGACTGCTCCAGGCTAGAGCAGGAATAGAGCATGCAGGGAGGATTTTCGCAAGGCCTTCAGCGACCAGTTTAAATTGGTTGAGATTTTTCTGCCTTGGTTTTTTTCCTATAGCTGCCCAAGTTCTACTTCAGATTTTCATGAATGACTCATCTTCCTGTCATATTTTCTTAGACTGCAATGACTTAAGACTCTTGGGGTCACTGCTATGAAGTTCATCCTACTACATCTATTGGGAGGAGAAAGCAGTAATATTCAAACTCAAGCTTGTTTCCAACTCATGCTGATTGATTCCTGAGTGATTATTTCTTCCTGAAAATGACATTTTAGTGATTCATTGTTTTCTGTGGGAGGAAGCTTATGACCTTTTTTTTCCCCCCTTTCCAGAGGGAGTCTGGAAAAGTTGTAAGCAAGACATCATTTCTGTAAGAAAATTTTGTATAACAGAAGTTCTGGATAAAAGGTAAAGTGCATTTAAACTTCTTTGATGATGTTGATAATCACCTATAATCTGCAGAAGTAAACGGAGAGGGAAGAAGAGAAGGAGGAAAGCTAGGTGTACTTAGTGTCAGGGGTAGCATTAGGAATTTTATGTGCATTGTCCTTTTTAGATGGTTTTTACCGGGATTCTAGACATAGTTCTAAGAATCTCAAAATAAAACTATCCTTCAAAATGCTGTTTTAAATGCATTTGCTTATTGGTTGGATGTAATGTCCTCACAATTCACTCTGCACACATTTTCACCAGAAACATAATACAGAGACATAATACAGGATCCTAGCTAGGGAGTGTGTTCCTAATTTCTTCCTGTCTTATATTGGTTCTTGATCATTGCCAGTTATTTGCAGCCATACCATCTTTTAAATTATTTTTAATACTTTGTCACCAGGTCTTATCATACCTGGACCAAATAGTTTATTTCTTACCTATATTTCATAAAGTTCTGAAAGCCTCTGTCTGAGAAATACATCTGAAATTATAGCTATAATTTTACCTTTTAAACTAGGGAAGATGAAAGCAAACCAGACTTAGTTTGGTGGCACAAACAAGTACTCATAGTCTGAGATGAATTGTCCTACCTGAGGGTAGTAGAATGAGATGCTATTTATTTTAACCATCATTCTAGTGTGAGCCTTGAGGTTAGATTTCAAGTATGTCGAAAAGTAGTTCCTAAAGATTTCAGTAAAAATTTAAATTAAGATTTTAATATTTGCTGATTTTTCCTTTGGTATTTTTCCATTTTTATCAGGGCAAACCAGTTCAATCACCATGAGTTGGAGCTTCCTGACTCGCCTGCTAGAGGAGATCCACAACCATTCCACGTTTGTGGGGAAGATCTGGCTCACGGTCTTGATCGTCTTCCGGATTGTCCTTACAGCTGTAGGAGGAGAGTCCATCTATTACGACGAGCAGAGCAAATTTGTGTGCAACACAGAGCAGCCAGGCTGCGAGAATGTCTGCTATGATGCCTTTGCACCCCTCTCCCATGTACGCTTCTGGGTATTCCAGATCATCTTGGTGGCAACTCCCTCAGTGATGTACCTGGGCTACGCCATTCATAAGATTGCCAAAATGGAGCATGGCGAAGCAGACAAGAAGGCTGCTCGGAGCAAACCCTATGCCATGCGTTGGAAACAGCATCGGGCTCTGGAAGAAACAGAGGAGGACCATGAAGAGGATCCCATGATGTATCCAGAAGTCGAATTAGAAAGTGAAAAGGAAAATAAAGAGCAAAACCAGCCTAAACCCAAGCATGATGGCCGACGGCGGATTCGGGAGGATGGTCTCATGAAGATCTATGTGCTGCAGTTGCTGGCAAGGACCGTGTTTGAGGTGGGTTTTCTGATAGGGCAGTATTTTCTGTATGGCTTCCAAGTCCACCCATCCTATGTGTGCAGTAGAATTCCTTGCCCGCATAAGATAGACTGCTTTATTTCTAGACCCACGGAAAAGACCATCTTCCTTCTGATAATGTACGGCGTTACAGGCCTCTGCCTGTTGCTGAACATTTGGGAGATGCTCCATTTAGGCTTTGGGACAATTCGAGACTCACTCAACAGCAAAAGGAGAGAACTGGAAGACCCGGGTGTGTATAATTATCCTTTCACCTGGAATACACCATCTGCTCCCCCTGGCTATAACATTGCCGTCAAACCAGATCACATCCAGTACACCGAGCTGTCGAATGCGAAGATCGCCTACAAGCAGAACAAGGCCAACATCGCCCAGGAACAACAGTACGGCAGCCACGAGGAGCACCTCCCCGCTGACCTGGAGACGCTGCAGCGGGAGATCAGAATGGCTCAGGAGCGCTTGGACCTAGCAATCCAGGCCTACAATCACCAAAACAACCCCCCTGCTCCCCGGGAGAAAAAAGCCAAAGTGGGGTCTAAAGCTGGGTCCAACAAAAGCAGTACGAGTAGCAAATCAGGGAATGGGAAGACCTCCGTCTGGATTTAATCTTGGCTGGGCTTAAAACTTGTGCTCTTCATAGTTTATGGTAAGCAGCGGCTCACTGAATAATGACTTCCACTGAGTAAACATTTGGCTCTGCTTATCTTCAGGGATGCTGTTGGCTTGTGATCCAAGCTCAGGGGACTCTGAAGGCGGGGCTGGGACAGAGGAAAAGGAAGGGAAACATAGTGTTCCTGGGCACATGTTCCAGCAATAATACAGTTGTAGACTGTACATGTGTGTCTTCCAGATCTGGAAAAGAACAGATATATTTAAATCATTCTTGTTGAACAATTTTTGTATGTACAGTATTATGGAACTTTTTCTTTTTTTTAGTATGCGAACTTTTTTTTTGTACTTGTACATTGGACCACTGTAGTTATACTTTTATATTAAAGGGGGAAAATCCTAAGGTAATGCCTATTAGACTAGTGTTATTACTTTGTTCAGCATGTTTCTATCCTGGGTTTAATGTTTTTTAATAGACGCTACACCAATAAAAGTGCCTCTCGTGATGCAGGGATAATTTCAAATATATGAGGAGGAGGAGGAGGAATCAGTTTTCAGTCTTAGAAAGAACGTCCACAGTAGAAGGAGGTTGAGATCTTAACTTGAGAAATCTTTGAATCTCATTCATGTGCCCAGAGTTGTATCTGTCTTTGAAAACCTATTTGTATTTTCAAAGGAGATAAATGATTCACTGCAGGATTCCTTTAAATATCAAGCATTGCCGGGATATGCTTTGATGTATATCATTTAAGTTCTTTCAAAAGGCTGGTACTCCCAGTTCTGTAGCGGTGTGGAGACTGTCAGGAGTCACTGAGATTCCTCTACCACAGCGCAAACCACGCCTGCAAAATGAGCCCTAACAGGGTGTTTAGTTGTGGACCTGTTTGATTTGCCTTAAATCTCTATCCAGAAACCTGCCTCTCTCTAGTTTAAGAAACCAGTGGTGGGTATTTTCTTTATTTGTTAACATTAGAAATACAAAAATTCCCTTGTAAGCTAAGAATACTCAAAGCTCCTTGTGCTGCATATGGTGGAAGGCCTAAATCCGAATTCCTCATTTTTTATAATTTACCATGGAACTTTTATAATTTGCATACTTCTGCCAATGTCGTTTTCTGCCTGGAAGACCAGTCAGACCGGGGATTTTATCTGTAAATAGATCTAAAGAGAATTCCAGTATTTATTCCCTACAAATATATTTGTAGGCATATTAATTTGTCAGTGACAAACATTAATGTCATGTGACACTCATATTTTGCAGTATTTTATTGCCATTTTCAAATTGTATTATATTGGAGAGCTTTGCTCTCTTGTCAGGTTCACATCGTTTGTCTTACAGTTGATGAGCTTCTGAGTAAGAGCTTGTTGAAGATTTCAAGGAAGGGACTTTTGCTTCACTATGGAAATTTCATTTTGGATATCTCACTCTTTTCCAGCAGGAAGCTGTCATGAGCCACCTCTGACTTTGAAATTCTAAAAGTATTGTTTTTTTATGTCAATTTTGAAATGAGAATCCTAAAACGGCACCTTGGTGCTGTTCTTTCTTTTCTTTTTCCTTTGTTGATCTCCATTGCATGTCTCCCACGCCTACCCCCAAACAAAAGAAACTCAGTAGAAAATTTAAGCTTATTTTCTAGCCATGCATTTACCTTTATTTTGCTGATACACACACACACACACACATTAATAATTTTGACCTAGAGAAGTTTCCCAGGATCTCTAAACATCTTAAGCACAAAGTAAGTTCAGGTGAGACTGAAGGGAAAATTTCGGAAAATTATACATGTATGTATCCTGGATAATTAATAGATGTGCAATTTCCTTCAAACTAAATGTATAATAAGGAAATTAAAATAACTACAAAAGCAGGCAAGATGGTAAATACCTAAGCCTAGCTAAGATAAGGAACTATCAATTACCTCTTAGTTACTAGAGCTTCATGCAGATGTCGTCATTGAAGGACGGAAAATGCACACACACTCACATCTGTCTCTTCAGAGCCTGAAGAACAGCATGGCATTGCCAGCAGAAAGGTTTGAAAGTGAGGAGAGGGAGGGAGTCAGGCGGAAATGCCAGGCCGACATTTGGCGCCAGAAGTATCCATTGTTCCTACAATTGGTGCCCCTGGCGTTTCTCTTGGTTTGTTCTGGTGAGGATGTTACCTTTTGTGTCTGGATAATTCTTCACCTTAAAGTATGTAGAGAAATATTCACATGTGCATACACGTTTAAAAACCCATATTTATTCTGTCACTAAAGTTTTAATTGGGACATGGGTTTCTCAACTCTCACTTCTTTCTTAGTATATTTCTTTCTGCCTTTGAACATAAGAGTTTGCCAAAGCCATTTCCCCCTAATGACATCTGTGAACCCACATTAAGAAAATGGCCCTGTCAGTGTCTAGGTTAATCCATTGATTTGGTCTACAGTGAATCTATAAAAATATCATTCCAGTTATTGTCCTAGAACTTGCAGGTATTTGTATGAAAAGTGTGTCAGCATTTTTTCTTGTCAGAATCATATTCCTTTGAATTGCCGTGTAAGACATGCTCTGTCATAGGGTATTTGCTTCTCTAGACAGAAGTTGAGTGTTTAGTTCTTCACATCTGAGAATCAGGAGACAGTCATGTTTATATACCTTAGCATACTGTTGGGTTTATTTAGATGTGGTGTGTCCTTTGCTGTCTTCCTTAAAATCTGTTATCCAGAGAGATTTGTAAAAGGAACAGGCTTTTTTCTTAGTTTAAATTTGAGGGGATAATTCGGTAACATTTTCTCCTACAGAAATGTTAATGTTCGTTTTGTGGTTTCGAGTTTGCTTCATGACTTAGTTTTGCCTGTTTCGATATTTCATTTAAAACCACAAGTGTGCTCTCATTTAAAGTCAGTTTTTCTGGTAATTTTCCTTGACTAATGTCTAATGTCTGTAGAATTACTTTGATAAAAATGAACTTTGTCATCTAAAATCTTTCTGGAGGTTAGGACTACTAATAGTCTTTTTAAAGGGCACCTATATCTTTAAAGAGAAAAAAAAAATCATCATCAGGTACCTTAATTATGTCATTTCTTCTTGGTATGAAATGAGGCAGTTCATTTTACTTTTCCAAGTTTCAGGAACCACTTTCCTTTCAAAAGTGTTATGCAGTAGTTGGACTGAGCCTGTGGTAAAGGTATCAGAAGACCAACTATTGTTATTGGTTATTTATCTGAACTTAAAGCTTAAAAAAAAAGTTGAAAAGAACTGTGATGGTAGTAAGATGTCCGTCAGTGCTCTTTATCACAGGAATCAGTGAGGGCTTAAAATACTTGCTCTAGGCAGTTTATACCAAGAATGGAAGTAAACGTTATTCCCGTGAGTTATACCTATGCTTTACCCTTAAGCTTATGAATATCCATCTTTATGCTTCCTGTCTCATTTAGGGGACAGTATACTTCTAAAAACAATACCTATACTTTATGATAAATTTTAGCCAGCCAGCTTTCAGTAAAAGGCAAATACGTTTTACTTGAACCTTCTTTAAGAAACACCTTTCTGTGAAGGAAAGGTCTTTCCTGACTGAAGAAAAGTACCTGAAGTCAAAGGTATCCAGTTGCTGGTCATTTTAATAGGAAGGTTCCCAGTACTAGGTGATCTTTATAGAATCATGTAATCTCATGAAGAGTCTTTCCACCTGAAAATAATAACGCCCGCAGCTATACAGTACAGAGTTTGGAAAACAAATTGCAACTCACCTGTGTATCACACGTCTAATAATTCACAGTCACCATCAAGTATTAGAATCATTAAGTTGAGCTGCATGCTTTTCACTCATTCTGGCCACACATCATGGAGAGTTTAAAAGATTTTACATGTTGTCGCGAATGCAATTGTGTTTTGAATAATGTGAAGTCAGTTTGCGTTGTGCACATTTCATGTTAATAACCGTACTTTCTGAAAGAAGCAATCCAGAGCATTCCAGAATCCAGGAGTTCAAACAAGAGGAAGTCCTCTTCCCAAGCAAAATCTCTACAGAAATAAAGGAAGTAAGAGTTGTGCACTTCGGGGTTGGCTTGTTGAATCAGCAAAAACGTTTGGCTGTCTATGCTTCCAAGATTGGAAATCTTTTTCTTTATTGTACTCTCAATTGTGTTTTCTTTAATAAATCTCTTACAGAAGTCTCTACCTCAGGCACTAAGTGTCAGCTATGGTTAGGGTATTGAAACTGAAAAACTTAGCTAGGACTTCCAACTTTTTAAGATAACTTAAATGTAAACAACTGTTAACCAGCAATCTCATATCATGTGGCATGCAGTTTGGATATCGTATGAACAGCTAAGGATTACCCATTCTAGTGCCAAAGATCACTCGTTGCTAATTTTGTTTTGTACAGTTGATGTAAAACTTTATGGTTGGGGACAGACTCTGTGCTCAGGGCCTTGTCTCTAGAAAGATTTCTTTCAGTCCCAAATGTTTTGTCAGTTCCAAATACAGTTTAGAAGATTCACGTGTGGTCTGTGCATCTTTTCCCAAACTTGAAAACTCAGCTGCCAGGAAATGCCATATTGTGGATATTGCCCCGTTCTTTGTATACAATAGTACTCGAGAGCTCAATGGTTTACACAGAAAACATGATACCGAAGTCTGTTCTCCTACATCCACCTGTACGTCGATCTCCGTGGGAATGCATGAGCAGGAAGCATTCCCAGTAGAGGTTTGAGCTCAAGAGATGCCTTTTTTCACAGCTGGTAAGCACTCCGCTGGGATTGCTGTGGCCGAAGGGGTCTGTGTATTTGTGGCATCATGATGAGGGTAGGTGGCCTTGTGTGCGAGGAGGTCCAGGCACAGAAACACGCCCTGTCTCTGGCTCCCTTGGTTTCTCAGGGCCTTTTCTCCGAGAGGAGTGCCTTCTGGGAGGGATGCTCCCCGCAGACATAGACCAGTCTTGGTAAACCCAATGTACCTCCTGAGAAGAGAATGTGGGAGAGGTCGGATCTATTGCAATAAAGTCCTCTGTTTCCCTGGATACAGAATGGCTGACCGGTAGTTGATGATGAAGCCCACCCTCAGCAGCACAGACTGTAAACTCGTTAGCCAGCCGTGTTTGGTAATACGTACACCTCCGAGCTGCTTGGAAACAGTTGGAGCAGTTAGTCACTGCTGGTTTTGAAAGTGCATTTTTGGGTCAGATTTACCATCAGAACAAAGACTCATACCTGGAAAAGGTGTTGGCATCAAAGGTAAAATGTGTTTGCTACATAGGATTTAAAACACTATTTCTAAGTTGTAAGGGCCTACGTTAATACACAACACTTTTAGGGTTTGCCTCCTTTAGTTATCTCAGATTGGAAGCGTGTTACATGGGGGCATGAGGAATAGGGACCTGGAGGCGGAGCTGAGAAGAGTCCAGGTCTGCACAGTGGTCGCCCGGTGCTCAGTCCGGCGTGCTTTGCTTTTTCCCAGTGAGTGCAGAGCAGCTGTCTGGGGCTTCCTCACGGAGGGAGGGAGGTTCTCTGCTGGGTGGACCTTGCTGGGCTGCAGCGTTTTTTTCCGAATGTGACTGTTGGACCACCTGTGTAAGAAGTAACAGGAATGCTGATTAAAATGTAGGTTCCTTGGACCCATCTCAGACCTACATAATCAAGATTAATAAGTTCTCTAGATGATTAAAAACCCTTTTTAGTATATAGTTGAGTAACCATCCCTGGAAGATAGTCATTGCGTTACCCAAAAATTATCTTGGTAATTCTTCCATTAAGGTTTGCGAATAAAGGGGACAGGGCCCGACCGGCGTGGCTCAGTGCTTGAGTGTCCACCTATGAACCAGGAGGTCAGGGGTCGGATTCCCAGTCAGGGCACATGCCCGGGTTGTGGACTCGATCCCCAGTGTGGGTGTGCAGGAGGCAGCCAATCAATGATTCTCTCTCATCATTGATGTTTCTGTCTTTCTCTCCCTCTCCCTTCCTCTCTGAAATCAATAAAAATATTTTTTTTAAAGGGGGGAGAGGTGTTAAGGGACGATGACATGGCAACAAGCGTTTGTCACCAGTTGGTTTTCTCTCCTGGCCCGCTCGATCCTGAGGAAATGGTGCGTTTCCTTGCCCTGTCCTTGACGTGCTGTGCCTGTTAAACTAGATTCGGGCGGGGATGTGGAAGAACCTAAGGAAGCCCCCTGGTGCCTCGAGGAAAAGCTGACCGGGTTCCCTCTTCACCCTCGGCTGAACCTCCCGCACGTATCCTTGTCTGCTCTGCTCCCGGGGCCAGCGCAGAGGGCACGGCTGGCTGACAGCCTTACACTCCAGGCAGAGCAGAACCAAGCAACTGTTCATAACCGGTTTCCGTGCGTACATAACCAGTGACCTGAATGGGACCTGACCATGGGGAAATGGCACAGAACTGGATCGCTTTTTACATTTTATTTTTAGTTTCTGTAGTCCTGTGGAGGCGAAGTTTTACCGTCACGCTGGGAACACTGGAAAAGACTGAAAGGAAGCTCCTTTGGCCTGGCTCTTTTTTTTTTTTTTAAACCCTCACTCGATATTTTTTTTAATTGATTTTTAGAGCAAGTGGAAGGGAGAGAGAAAGAGATTGATGTGAATGAGACATATCAATTAGTTGCCTCCATGAGCCTGGACCAGGGCGGGGATTGAACCTATAACCCAGGGACATGCCCTTGACCAGGAATCAAACCTGAGGACCTTTGTGTGCAGGCTGATGCTCTCACCACAGAAACACCAGCCAGGGCATGGCCCTTGTTTCTTTGAAAGCATGTTGCAGCTGTGGCTTCTGCCCAGCAGGCAGAGGCATGCCAGTGGTTCTCAACCTTCTGGCCCTTTAAATACAGCTCCTCATGTTGTGACCCAACCATAAAATTATTTTTGTTGCTACTTCATAACTGTAATGCTGCTACTGTTATCGTAAAGTAAATATCTGATATGCAGGATGGTTTTAGGCGACCCCTGTGAAAGGGTCGTTCGACCGCCAAAGGGGTCGCGACCCACAGGTTGAGAACCGCTGTAGACCCTGTACCCGGTGCTTTTGAGAGCAGTGACAGGCCTCCTTAAGACGACTTCAATGGCAAAGCCCTGGGAACAAGGTAAGTGCAAATTGTCGACGGATTGCTTGCTTCACATTCAGAGAGGGTCATGGTCATGGATGAGGATCTGCAGCGCTGGAACCAGTCGTGATTATAGACCTGCTTGTGATGTGGCTGTTTAGTTCCAGTGGTTTGCTTCTGGGGGCTTGTTGACTTAGAATGTGGGGTGTGTGGCCATTCAAGCCAGCTCTTTGGAGTAGTGGGCAGAATTTTCCAAATTCTGGGAAATTGCTAGGAGGAAGGATAGATACAAGGTAAGGGCATGTGGGGGAGGGTTCGGGTGGTGGTGGTGGCGGTGGTGTGGTGGTGTTTCTGTGCGGTAAGTGGGACTGTGGAATGCCATAGCACAGCGAGGCACTGCTGGGGAAGGTTGTGAATAGGTCAGCATAGGTTGGCCTGGAGTAGGTGTCCTGGGCAGGAGCCCATTACCCTTGACTTGGGGTCGCCAGATAAGATACAGGCTGCCTGGTTACATTTGAATCTCAGATCAACAGTGAATAATTTTTATATATTATGTGGAACACACTAATATTTTTTAAAAAAACTGTTGTTTATCCAAAATTCACATTTAACTGAGTGTCCTGTATTTTTATTTGCTAAAACTGGCAGCTCTGGCCTGGACCGTGTGGCTCAGTTGGTTGAGCGTTGTCCCAGGCACCAAGAGGTTGCAGGTTTGATTCCTGGTCAGGGCACATGCCTGTGTTTCGGGCTTGATCCCTGGTGGGGGGTGTGCTGGAGGCAGCTGACCAATGTTTCTCATCATTGATGTTTTTCTCTCTCCCACTCTGGGTAAATGTTGTCTTTTTAAGGGAAGATTTTCTCTTTTTTAAAAATTTTTATTTAATGATTTTAAAGGGAGATAAAGAGAAACATTGACCTGTTCCTACCTATTCATGTGCCCATCGGTTGACCCTGAAGTGCCCTGACCAGGGATTGAATCCACAGCGTTGACAGGTTGGGATGATGCTCCAACCAGTTGGCCAGGGCTGTATTTTTTTTAATCACAATTAAAAAATAATAAACTTAGTAAAATAAAATGAAAGAATTTTGATCAATACTAAAGGATATAAAAAAGTGAAAGTCCTCCTCATATTCCTTTCTATTCACACTCCTCAGAGGTAATCGCTGTTTAACATTTCTTTCCAGAAGCATTTATGCACATACAAGCATATCCATGTGTCTGTTCTTTGCTTAGCAAATATTTATTCAACAATTAAATTACCTTTAGTAATAGCAGGCTACCGGACCCCAAATCCAAAATTAGAGGCACCAAAAGTAGAGAATGTACTTAAATTTAACTTCCTTTAGTGGGAACACAGAAATTGGACAGGAACGTCTACTGCTAGTATTCATGAAATAACTGTCCATAAACAGAGCTTACGCACCATAACACAGACTACGTAAAATGAAATGTAAGCACTCTACAGCTTTTTCTAAGTTCTTAAAATTACAGGGAATAATTTACAGACAATGTGCCCTTTTTCAGGGTGTCATTCAATGACTTTGGTGTCTTTTTTAAACACAATTATCATTGCCTGCTGTTTTTCTGGTTATTCTATTTTAATGACTTTATTTCTGGTTATGAAGGTATTATTACATGCTCCTTATAAAAGAAAACAACTTGGATAATTCAGAAAATAAAGAGAAAGCAAAATACATCAGTAATTTCCCAGTCCCTAGAAAGCCATTGTTACCATTGTCTCTTTTTAAAAGCACACATGCATTTATTCATCCAGAAACACAAAAGTATGTAGAAAATAAAAATGGCCCACAATTTCCATGCTCATCTAGACAATCCTTGTTGGATTTTAAAAATAGCCCTGGGCCCTGACCGGTTTGGCTCAGTGGATACAGGGTCTGCCTGCGGACTCAAGGGTCCCAGGTTCGATTCCGGTTGAGGGCATGTGCCTTGGTTGCGGGCACATACCCTGTGGGGAGTGTGCAGGAGGCAGCTGATCGATGTTTCTCTCTCATTGATGTTTCTAACTATCCCTCTCCCTTCTTCTCTGTAAAAAATCAGAATATGTTTTAAAAAATAAAAATAAAAATAGCCCTGGCCAGTGTGGCTCAGTTGGTTGAGCATCGTCCCTGTGCACCATTTAGATTCCCCTGGCTGGGGCACATGCCTGGATTGGGCTCAGTCACTGGTAGGGGGCATGCAGGAGGCAGCTGATTGATGTTTCTCTTGCAAAGTGAGTGGAAGGGAGAGAGGGAGGGAAGGAAAGAGAGAAATGCTTCAACACATTGGTTGCTTCCTGCATGTGCCCTGACCGGGACCGGGGATCGAACCTGCAATCCAGGTATGTGCCCTTGACTAGGAATCAAACCTGAGACCCTTCGGTGTATGTGCGGGGGGTGGGGACATGCTCCAACCATTGATCCACACCAGCCAGGACCAATTTTAAATTTTC